CGATGACTGTTTAGGTAACTTGTTACAGGTTACACATAGAGTAACAGCAGAAAAGCACACCGTAACCATTGATGGCTCATCTTACTTATGGTGTTTATGTAGGCGTTTTTGTTTTTGTTTTGTTTTTTTATACTGCAGAAGCTGACATACAATAGGAGTCTTGATAAAGGGAAATACTCGCATTCCGCCCAAAATACTGTGAATTTACATGCTTTAATTTACAAAACTATAAGCGCAGAAAAAATGAACTTTATAGATGCAAATATGTGTAAATGTTTATTATTATTAAAGCCAATGTTTCTCGGACAAATGCATTTTATGTTAACTTTATTGTACATTGTTGATCCATGGACACTTACCTTAATCCAGATAAATTAATTCTGTTATGCTGCTGTTTGTGAACAGGCAATGTTTATGATCTCAATGAAGAATCAAATAAAATGCAATGAATCCTTCTTATTTTTTTCTTACCTCTTATGTGGCTGTTTATCCCTAGGTTTTTTTTTTATCTCCTCAAGAACTTTTACAACAGCACAAGTTGGCTAAACCCCCCTGCAATTACCATAGGAATCCATTTAAATATTACCTAGACAGTCGTAATTTGTCTGGGCTATATAGCAATGGTGCTGTAAGGTTTGTCGGCTTTTGTTCAGTTTTATGACTTGCTAGTATATCTGGATTGTTGCAGAGCTAGACGAAGGCTTTCAGTTGTGCAAGGAACTCCTTAGACAGAGGAAGCAAATAACAAGAGGAGATGGGATTGATTTTTTTCTTTAAATTTGAAAAGCAAGAAGCTGTCCACTTCCATCTGGGAAAACATAGCAGTGGCCCAAACTGACTGAGGAGAGCCCAAGGTGAGCTTGATTGCGCATTGCGCACTGCCTTTACGCAGCGCGCTTTCTTTGCATACTTGGCACCCTTTGCCTATGGATTTGTTTTGTTTAATTGCAGTCTGTGACTAGGAATTATTTATCTAGGGATCAACTGCTTGCATTAACACAGCCACACATCTACATGTTCTTGCACATCATGCATGTATGATTCATGTATAAATAAATGCAGGTATCCAGTCATTTTCTATATATATATATATATATATTAATTGAATTTATACTAACCCGTTACTTTTATGACTGTCCTGTGTTTTAGTGCATGTTTAAGCTTGCAGGGGCTGAGGCACTGATTGCACGCCTACCCACCGTGGGACTTGCTAGTGTGCTTGTAATTTTCTCCTTATAGCGGATCTTCAAGGAATTTGGAGGTCGCCAGCCCTTAAGTATTATTTCTGAACTGGCCTGTGATTTAGGTAGTTTCATGTTGTTGGGGCTCAAGTTTTCTCTCGACAACAAGAAACTGCCTTATTCACATCAGTGAATATCTTCAGCTGTGTTATGGAAATGCTGGGTCCATCCGTGAGCTCGTGTGTTTGGCTATGTAGGTGCCCAGGATAATGTTATTTATTAAAGATTGCTTATATGTACACTACGTTACTGGGGCACATTCATAGGCATGGGTCAACCATTATTACGTGCACACTAAAAATGACGATGCAATGTATAAATGTATGTATATGTGATTTATACTTGTGTGTATGTGATTAGCCAGACTCAGCAAAGAGTGTATTTAGCCTTAGAATATGTTCATTTCTAATCCCCCACTAGAGACAGCGGAAATAAAATGAATACATGTTTCCCCTGACTCTGAAAGGAACACAGGCTAGGGTGGAAATGGCTCCGTCAGTAAAGCAGATCTTGCTTGTTTAAATGTACAGACTGAATGACAGGAGTGCCTCTGTGTGGACTGGTATATTGTAATGATCAGTATTCTTAGAGGTAATTTTCCGATACTCTGAGTTAGGCTAACATTTCTTAGGCAATAGCAAGAGGGAAAAGTATGAAGAGCTGCCTGTTATAATGGCTTCCTGCTCACAAGGCCTAGGTTACGATCATTATTACAAGCCTATAGTCTGACATTCCTCAGAGCCTCCCCACCAGCACAGTGAGGGAAACAAGCAGACAGCCACCAAAATAAACCAGACAGAACCTAGACAGTCCCATATCATTTGCTTATTAGGGAATGGGTTCTGCTTGTAATTGAACCTCTAAATTAATAAATTATAAAGATTGTTTACTTTGAATTCGGGTTTTGAATTTACACCAAAAAATTACAGCAGCAGGGAAATTA